TCCCCCATTTGAATTTTAGAATCAGTTTGTCAACTTCTAAAAGGGAAAAGCTCTGGGATTTTTGAATGTATTTTATTTCAGAGATGGGGTCTCTATTGTCTAGGCTGGTCTTGAACTCCTTGCCTCCAAGCGATTCTCCTGCCTCAGCCCCAACAAGAGCTGAGATTAGGCATGAGCCACCATGCCCAACTAGGGATTTTGATTAGGATCATGTTGAGTCTATAGGTCAATCTTGGAAGAACTGAGATCTCAACAATATTGAGTCTTCTTGACTCATGAATTTGGAGGAGCTCTCCATTTGTTAGTGTTCTTTAATTTCTCTCGGCAATGTTGTTGTTTTTTTTTTTTCTTTTTCTTTTTTTTGAGACAGAGTCTTGCTCCATTGCCCAGGCTGAAGTGCAATGGCCCGATCTCGGCTAACTGCAACCTCTGCCTCCCGGGTTCAAGCAATTCTTCTGCCTCAGCCTCCCAAGTAGGTGGAATTACAAGCACCTGCCACCACAACCAGCTAATTTGTTTTGTGTTTTTAGTAGAGATAGGGTTTCGCCATGTTAGCCAGCCTGGTCTCAAACTCCTGACCTCAGGTGATCCACCAACCTCGGCCTCCCAAAGTGCCAGGATTACAGACGTGAGCCACCGTGCCTGGCTGCAATATTTTTTAGTTTTCAGTGCACATCTTGCATATCTTTTGTCAGATTTTTTTCAGTATTTAATATTTTGATGTTACTATAAATGTCATGGCTTTTAGCATTTTAAATTTTGATTATTACTGAGTTTGTTTTAAATCTTTTTTCTATTGAAATACAAACTTTGTAAAGTGCACAAATCTTTTTAAAATTTTCTTTTTTTAAAAAAACTTCTCTTTGGGAAAGCTTTATTGTGAAAAAGACACACATAACAGATTTTGTTAGATTCAGTTTGAAATTATCAAGTATAATACACTTAAGGATGGTTTCAATGTTAGACTGGGAAGGTTTTCTCTTTTAAATGAAAGGATCCTTTTCCTAGGAAGATGTTAAGTAACACAGTATAGATGACTATTTTCACTCTTCAGTTTGAAGATGAATTATCCTTCAATAAATGCCCACTTAATCCAGCATGGTTACTCCTCCCCTTCTTTAAATTACCAAAGCTAAGTACATTGGCATATTTAGCTATGTCATTTGCATATGAAAACATTTTTTTTTTAACTTTTTTTTTGAGAGAAGTCCCACTCTTGTCTCCCAGGCTTAAGTGCAATGGCTCAATCTCAGCTCACTGCAACCTCTGCTTCCTGGGTTCAAATGATTCTCCTGCCTCTGCCTCCCAAGTAGCTGGGATTAAGGCGCCTGCCACCATGGCCCCACTAATTTTTGTATTTTTTAGTAGAGACGGGGTTTCACCAAGTTGACCAGGCTGGTCTCGAACTCCTGACCTCAGGTGATCCGCCCACCTCGGCCTCCCAAAGTGCTGGGATTACAGGCATGTAATCCCGTGCCCGGCCGAAAACATTTTATTAATGACTTCTTAAGCATTTGTCTCTCCTTCCTCCCAAGATTTCAATAAACTGACGCCAGGAATTTATGGAGAAAATTATAAAAACTTTAGTGAAAGATAGATATGAGTAACTGAATGAAGCAAGCAATTACGTTCATGGATTGGAAGAGGCAATACAAGGGAAAGATATCATTTCTTCTCAAACGAATCTGCAAAATCAAAGTGAACAATTTGTTGTTGTTGTTGTTAAGAGACTCACACTGTTATGTAGGCTGGAGTGCAGTAACACGGTAAGAGTCTCAACCTCCTGGGCTCAAGTGATCCTCCTGCTTCAGCCTCTCAAGTAGCTGAGGCACGCACAACCATCCTTGGCTAATGCTTTTTTATTTATTTTTTGTAGAGACGAGATCTCACCACCTTGCCTGGGCTGGTCTTGAACTCCTGGGCTCAAGTGATTTTTCTGCCTTGGCTTCCCAAAGTGTTGGGATTATAGGCGTGAGCGTGTACCCAGCCTGCATAAATCTTGTGCATAACTTGATAAAATTTTATGTTTGAATACACTGCTGTGATTACCAGCCAGATCAAGATATGTAACATTTCCTGCATCCAAGAAGATTTCTTCATGCTCCTTTTCCCCACCCTCCCTGACAACCAGGAGGTTCCCTTATGATACCTCTCATCTAAGTGGAATCAATCATGATGTACTGTCTGTTTTTTTTTTTTTTACCACAACTTAATGTATATAACGTTCATCCATATTGTTGTGTGTAGTAGTCGTTCATTGTTACTCATTGCTATATAATATTTTTTCTCCCATATAAAGACATTTAGATTATTTCCAGTTTTTGCTACCTTGGGTAATGCTGCAATGAATATTCTTCTACATGATCATAAATAATAAATACTCTTGGGTATATGCCCAGTGGTAGAATTATTGGGTTATGGTCTATGTATAACTAGCTTTAGTAGTGTCTGATATAGTTTGGATATGTGTCCCCACCCAAATCACATGTCAAATTGTAATCCCCAATGTCGGAGGTGGGGCCTGGTGGGAGGTAACTGGATCATAGGGGTGGGTTTCTCATGAATGGTTAAGTACCACTCCCTTTGGTACTGTCCTCGCAACAGTGAATTCTTGTGAGATCTGGTTGTTTAAAAATGTGTACCTCCCCCCACCCTACTTGCTCCTGCCATGTAAGATGGCTGGTTTACCTTTGCCTTCTGCCTTGATTGGAAGCTTCCTGAGGTCTCCGCAAAAGTAGAAGCTGCTATGCTTCTTGTACAGTCCACAGAACCAAGAGCCAATTAAACATTTTTTCTTTGTAAATTATCTAGTCTCAGGTATTTCTTTATAGCAATGCAAGAACAGACATATAGTACCACAGTTTTCCAAAATGATTAAACTCTCACCAGCAATATATGAAAGATATAGTTGCTGCATATCCTTGTCAATGCTTGGTATTGGAAATCCTTTTAATTTAAGCCATCCTGGTGGTAGTCTTGGTATCTCATTGATTTCAATGTCCATAATATATAGAACTTTTTCTCATGTTGGGCCTATAGGTCAGTCTTGGAATTCACCCTTTCAGAGGCCATACATTTATGTGTATTGGTGCATGGCAGAGGCTGGTGTACACACATTAGTGCAGAGCCATAACTGGAGCATACCTGAGACTAACCCTGTGGTCTAAGAAGAACCTACGTTTGGAGTCCTGGGCTGAGGAATCCAGGAATAGCCAACCCAGAGATTCACTCCTTATCTATAAAGGACATCCACATCCCTGGCCCATATCTTAGGCTGTACAGGAAATCAAGGCCCTTTGTTTTTGGGTTAAATGGAGGTTGCTAGGAGGGTGCTAAGTGAAAATGGTATATACACTACATGCTTTTTACAAATGGTAGCAGTTCTCCAGGCCAGCCCATCACTGGACCACCCTCGTATGTAACTCCTGAATAAACCTTGTCTCCTTCACTGGCTCTGCCTCTCTTCTTATAGTGCCATCCCAATTGGAGTCAGTGGGTCCAGAAGAACAATTGGCCATTTAGATAACATCTGAAAATTAACCAGTGTAATTCACAGTAACATTAAAAAATACAAATGAACATTTCAATAAAGGCAGAAAAAGCACTTGATATTCAATGCTTTCCTCCTGATGTTACGACCAAGACAAGGAAGTCCATTATCACTATTTTTACTCAATAGTGGAAATACTAGCCAGCAACAAAAGGCAAAAATAAATACAAATAAAAGGTATAAAGGTTACAGAGAAGTTAAACCATCTTTATTCGTGGATTGCAAGATTTTGATCGCAGAAATTCCGAAAGAATCTACACAGTGTTATTACAAGTAACAAGGGAACTTAGCAAGATGCTTGAATATAAGATCAGTATGTAAAAATCAATATTGTTTATTCTTACAACAAGCAGAATATAAAAAAGTCAAAATGCCATTTAACATAATAAATCTAATGAAAGATATGTATCATCTCTATACTGCAATCTATCCAAGCACAGCTGCATTAAAATATAGATATATGGGCAATCTACAAAACATTGCCAGGAGAAATTAAAGACCACTTAAATAAATGGTGGGGTAGAATGATACTCATGGATTGAAGGACTTAATGTTAAGATACTAGTTTTCCCCAAACAGATCTATAGATTCAATGCAAGTCCAGCAAAAATCCCATTTTTTAATTTAACCTAATTCCAAAATTCACCTAGAAATACAAAGGTCGTAGAATGAGCCAAAGCAATCTTGGGAGAATAAGTTACAGGACTTAAAGATTTATTATAAAACTACATTAAGTTAACACAGTTTGGTACTGGTATAAAGTTAGACAAACACTACTCCCTGTCGCTCCTCAATCTGCCCCCATCCCTGGAACATGCTGGCAGCTTTCTCCATCCGATCTGCAAGCGTAAAGAGCGCTGAGGAAGGGCTGACCGACTGGCGTGGGAAACAAAGCGGCACTGAGATAACTTAGGCCACCTTCCTCCCCTCAGTACCTTCGGATGGAAAAGGTTTCCCTTCTTGGTCTGGGAAGCCCACTAAGAAGAAATCCTGGGCTGTGGGGCCGCCTGGCGCGTTGCCCCAGGAACCAGAAGGCTTTTTGCCGCTATTAGGGCAGAATGACTTCCGGTGAGTCCCAGCCGTTTAGGATTCCCAGCCCAAAGATCGCGGGAATCCAAGCGGCATCCGGGCCTCTGCTCCCGGAAGCGACAACGCAGCCGCGAATGAGGTAATGGAAGCGAAAGGACTTGGCTGCCTGTGGCAGCCATGATAAAAACTAGGGAAAATGGAAGCTCGAAGTAGCTTGCGTTATTAACGGACATACAAACGCCCCTAACCGCCACACGTTCCTGAGGGATGACAGTACGTTACAAAAGTGCTTCTAAACTACTACTGAAAGCTCCGTGGGAGTGCCCGCTGGCGTGGGCGCCCTGGAAGGGAGGGAGAACGTGTACGCCCCAGGCGTCAGTAACCATGGCTGCGAGGGGCGGGGACTGGGAGCGCTGGTCCTGGGCCGGGGTGGGGCTGGGAGGAATCGGTCCTCCACTGTCCCGGCTGGCCCCGCGCCGGCGTGTCGCCTCCCTTTCCGCTAGCAGCACGCTGCGTGGCTGCTCGTTGGCTATTTAGGACGGAAGCTCGGTTGGTGTTTCTCCAGAAGTTTCCCCCTTGGGCGGTAGTGGAGGTGGTAACCGCGGTAGTAGCAACTCCGGCGGCAGCAACAGTGACTACGAGGGATGGCGGCGGCTGCAGCAGGAACTGCAACATCCCAGAGGTGCGTGTTTTTCTTTCCCTTTGCTATTTATTTTATCCCCCTTTCCTTGGCTAGTGAGCCGTGCTGAAGTCGTTGTTTTCCTGACAGGTTTTTCCAGAGCTTCTCGGATGCCCTAATCGACGAGGACCCCCAGGCGGCGTTAGAGGTGAGAGAGCCCATTTCTGCTTCCTCCACTCTCTTTAGGGGAACTGGGCCACTTCGGGGCCCGGCTGACTCGCCTTCTCCCAGCACCGCCGGACAGGGACCCAGGCTCTTGTTGATGCTGCGTCTCAGCCCCGGTGTTGAGATTCTGGGTCTCCTTTCTCTGTTCCACGGTAGCCGCGTTACCCTAGACTCCTATCTCGCCCTTTCCACTCCCCACAGCTCCTGAGAAAAACCTGTATTTCTTGAGAGCATGGTTGGCATTTGTAGTTGGGTTGAAAGAATGTTTTTTTTTTTTTAATGGCATTTATGACTAGAAGAGAAAAGTGGGCTCTGGGCTGGGCTGAAAGGATTTTTGTTTTTTAATGACATTTGTGATTAGAAAAGTGGACTCTGGGCTCGATGAAGTTAATTTTTTCGTTTGACAATCATTCTTGCCATTCTTATGTAAAAGTGTCGGTATGAAGTCGGTTTATTGGAGCAAAAACCTTTTCCCTCACGTCCCTGAAACTTTCCAGATGTCTTATCACAGTTCATTATTCACTCATTTGTATATACATCAAAAATTGTTTTTGAGTGGCAGTGTGCAAAGGCGCTGATTGCTATGGGTTAAAGTCTTCGTTATATACTTAGCTAACTTAGAAATCACTTTTTGTAGGTGTGCAGTGAAGACAAACCATAAAGCTGTAAAGGAATGTAAAAGAGCAAGAGTTAAATAATAAGAATTAGAGGAGAACCTAAAGATAAATGATGGTGTGGGTCACAGAATTTAGCCAGGAGTTTGTTTTTTGCGTTACATCACAGAGAAGAGGAAACCTGTTTTGTTGTTATGTTTAACACTTTGAGGCAAGACAGCGTTTTTTCTAGCTATGACTTTTATAAGAAATGTGCCACATGGTACTAGAGCCTCCGTTGAGAAGATCTTTGAGCTGAGATCTGAAGCAACAAGGGAAATTACTTGGAAGCTCTGGGGGAAGAGTATTCCAGGCAGGACCAAGAGCCAGTGCAGATCCTGAGGTAGGAATGAAGTTGGCCTGTATGTGAAGCAACAAAAAGGCTCTTTTTATTAGAGGGTCCATTTGATTAAAAGATAAGGTTGGACAGGAAACTAGGAGCCAGGTCGTATAAGGCCTTTTAGGGTCCAGGTGTTTTTTGTACCTAAATATATAGACCTTTAGACACTGGGAGTAAGGCTTCTGGGATCAGTTTGGGGATAATGTTACAGAAAGCACTGATAATTTTTCTCCATAATTACTTGTATTAGCTAGACAGCTATTACTTTTAATTTACATTTGTTATTGTCCTGTAAGACCTAGTGCTTCGTTTGGAAATCCGCTTTATATAAAAGTTGCTTTTAAACAATATTAACATAATGAATTTTATTGTCACTTTCCATCTTACTGTACTTTTAAAAATGTTTATGGAGGCATATATGATATGTGTAAATAACACAAATTTTAAATCTATAGTTTGATGAATTTTCACATATGTTTACACCACCAGATTAAGATACAGAGTATCTCCATTCATAATGCTCCTTCATGCTCCTTCTGAGCCAGTAATTCTTCTTACTGTCCTGCTGACTCCTGTTTTGACCTCCATCACCATCAATTAGTTTTGCTTGTTCTTTACTTATAAACAGAATCATACAGTAGGTGCTTTGTTGAATGTAGGCACTCTGTTTTTGCTTTAATCATTACGTGAGTATACATTCATATTGTGTGAAGCAGTAGTTCTTTTGCGTTGCTGTGTAATATTCTATTGTATAAATATATGTTGTATAGCTGTAAGTACAGCGCAATTTATTCTAACAGTGTACATCTGGGTTTCTAGTTATTAGCTAGCATAAATAAAGCTTCTGTGAATACTCTTGTACGTGTATTTTGGTGAACACATGCATTTCTTTTGGTTGTATGTACCTAGGAGAAGAATTGCCTAGGATAGTCATGTGGCTAGTATTAGTACCTTGGTTTTTAATGTGTAGCTCTGGACCAGCAGTAGTAGTATCACCTGGCAATTAATTAGAAGTGCAGCCGGGCGCGGTGGCTCTCACCTGTAATCCCAGCATTCTGAGAGGCCGAGGCAGGCGGATCACGAGGTCAGGAGTTTGAGACCAGCCTAGCCAACATGGTGAAACCCCGTCTCTATTAAAAATACAAAAAATTAGCCGGGCGTGGTGGTGGGCAGCCATAATTAGCTGCCCGCGAGGCTGAGGCAGGAGAATCGCTTGAACCCTGGAGGCAGAGGTAGCAGTGAGCTGAGATCGTGCCATTGCACTCCAGTCCAGGTGACAGTGAGGTCCGGCCATCAAAGGCATTAAATCCCAGCACAGGGTTTTCAGTTTTACATGATCGTGGAGATGTGTCAAGAGTTTGGAGAAAGGAAAATGAAATTTTCTGAATTACAAAACCTACTTTAAAAGCAGAATAGATCGTTAATTGGAGGAGGAACAAGGGATAGTGGATAGCAGGAAGATGGTGGTGCTGACCGGATCGAAGAATAATGTCTGCGTGTAGGGTGGTGATTGTGAGCATGAAGAGGAGTTGTTTTATGTAAAATGCACTGGACTTGGTTACAATTGGAATATAAGGGATGTCTCCTGAGATTCTGGCTGGGAGAATGTAGTAGGAACTGGTGCTATTCATTTAGATAGCATTTAGGATGATAACACTTAGAAGATTGCATTCAGCATTGGGGAATAGGTTTGAGGAGAGAAAGTAGTTTTAGATTGTGAATATTTGTACATGAGTTGCCCCTGGGACATTTCAGGTAGTCTAGAGAAAACTATGTGCTGCTGTTGCTCAGGGGCACTGTCTAGGCTCAAAATAGACTTGAGTCATCAGCATGCATCAACACATATGTGAAGCCCCCCAATAGTTAAGGAATCAAAGAATGTTTGTAGAGGGGAAGAAGCCTTAAGTACTGAGCCCAAGGAGAACATTAGTTTTTAAGAGGCAACAGAATGGTAAGCCGAAAGGCCTGGTTGTTATTGTCAAGGGCCACAGAGAGATCAAGTCAGATAGGAGTCAGTTGGATTTGATAAGGGGTTATTAGTGACTTTGAGAAGATTAAGACTAGAGAGGCAAATATTTTTGTATTCTGTGGCAAAGAAGATGAGGTCAAAGTAGAGACCAGGGAAAGGTCTGAAAAAAAATCTGCAAGGAGAAAAATCAATACTTTTCATTGAATGGTTACTGGATGCCACATACAGATCTAGGCAAGCCCAGCACCCTGCAGTCATCTTCAATTTATCTTATCTCACATGTTCACCCATTAGCAAGTCTCGCTGCTTCTAATATGTTCCAACTTACCATATTTCTCTTTGTCACCTCTGTGGCTAACATCCTTTTCTAACCTAGACTTTAGTAGTTTCCTAAGAAGTCTCCGTTTCCAGTCCGGATTTGATAATGTATTCACCAGACTGCAGCCAGAATGACATTTAAAAAAATAGTAAATTGGACCATGCTCTTACAGTGAACTTTCCATGGCTTTCCATCACACCTAAGGTCCAAATTCCTTATACAGTCTGCAGCCTACAAAGTGAGGCCCTTGAAGTAGCAGGTTACAGCTTCTTTGCTTTCTTGGTTTGAGCCACACTTTCTGTTGATTGATTGTAACCCCATGTAATTTGAGGAACATCTGTACATGTTGCTTTGTGAGAGTCACACTACTAGGTTAAAGCAAAGTCAATGATACATGTGGCTCTTGAAGTAATTTTACCATTAAAGAAAACTACCAAATCCCTAGAGTTTGTAGTCAGTTGGCAGAAAATAAAAGTGTTCCTGCACTTGTCCTTGATCTCCCAAGTTGTGTAATCTTTTGCATCATTGTTTTTCCAGCTACCACACCTATATGTTGTGACTGCACGGGTTGAAAAAGTTTCAGTCTCTAATGTTAACTCTTGATAGTTGACATAGCCATCTATTAGATTGTGTCTGGGCTTTGAACAGAATATTTAGTTGGGTTTTATTAGAGTTGTGTGCTATTGATAGAGGCTAGGAGAGGGCCAGGTAAGCTTGATTGTGTATGTATTGATTGGCTTAACCTCCCTGAGTGCTAGATTTAACTTCTAGTCTTTTTTTATTGCACAGCTTCACATTTTCTAGGAATCTCAAATTCTATATGGTGTTTGAATCTTCTTCAGATTAGGAGGAGGAAATCTGTAATGGTCAATGTATAACAATTAAACTCTTAAGAATATATGAGGTGATAATAATGATCATTTATTGAGTTCTGTAGACCAGGAACTAAATACTTTATGGTACACAGATACTACATTAGATTGTCTACTTTTGGGAGGAGGGGCAAGAGAAGTGGGGGAGATACTGATCCTTTTATAAGGAAAAACTCCAAGGTTATATCCCTGTTAGCTTTCCTCCAAATAGCTTCTGACAATAAGTTACTTGATTAAAAATTATGTTTTAATTAGAATTTGATGGCTTTTTACAAACTTTTACTGACACTCAACATGTTTGTTTTTGTAGGAGCTGACTAAGGCTTTGGAAGAGAAACCAGATGATGCACAGTATTATTGTCAAAGAGCTTATTGTCACATTCTTCTTGGGAATTACTGTGGTAACTTTTCTTATAAAGTATATTGCCCTTTTTAATAAGTTACTTACACATTTTACCCATGACAAATTAAAGGTTGTCTTTGAGAATTTTTAAATTGGTCTTTGATACAAGGTAAAGTAGCTCAAATGTGACAGACACGTTGAGCAACACCCATTTAAATTTTATGGATGTCGCTTTTTCCTTCATTGGGTGGAGAATGTATACAGATTTCATTCATAGTTATTGGGTATGCTGATAAAAAATAGCATCACATTTACTATTTGACAGAGTATTAAAATGAAATGCTTGTTTATATTTTTTTATAAAAAAGAATGACCAGGCATGGTGGCTCACGCCTGTAATCCCAACACTTTGGGAGGCCAAAGCAGGAGGATCACTTGAGCCCAGGAGTTCAGGACCAGCCTGGGCAACATAACAAGACCACCTATATTTAAAAAGTAATATATTTCTGTGTTTTGTAACTTTAAAAAATTATTCTGATCAAGAATCTGAATAGGGTAAAACCGAATACCTTGAGTAAAATTACGTAGACGATGTTAATGAGACAAGGAGGTGAATTTTGTGACACAGCTGTATTCATTGACCGAAGAGCTTTATGAAGGAAGCTAAATGTTAAGCCAAAAGGAAGATACAAGAGTAATAATTTATTTGAATTCTATCTTGTATTAGCTTTTCCTAATTTAAAACCATTTGGCATTTCTACCAACTTGAAAACTTAGAAATCTAAAACTGATTTATATGTTATATGTATTTGCTAGGATCTGTAAATAACTGACTAAAAACCCATCTTTTTCTACATAGTTGCTGTTGCTGATGCAAAGAAGTCTCTCAAACTCAATCCAAATAATTCCACTGCTATGTTGAGAAAAGGGTATGCAATAGCTACTCTTCTTGTTGAGCTTAGTATAGATAGTAGGTGTTTAATTTGTTGAATGAGTTCATTGCAAGCTTTATGTAAGTTGTAAAATTCTGTATTTATACGTTATATAGCAGAGATATGATTCAATTTTAAATACAACTTATGGTTCTATTATTTTGTTAACCATAATACATAATATGAGATCTATACTTAATAAATTTTAAAAGTGATAATTGAAGTAATTGAAAGGTATAGATGAAGCTGATAGATTTCACATTCCTTTTTTTTTTTTTTTTTTTTATCATTTGGAATTTACTATATTTAATTGACTGGACAGCATCCTGTTCTGCCAAGCCAAATAGGCGACATTTAATGCTGTGAAAGCTCTATATCTGTGTACTTTATGTCCCATCTTGTTTCTGTTGATAAGTATAACTATTCTTTAAGAAATTTCTTTAATTCCTTTTTATAATTATATTTTGGAGTAAGCAAGTTTGTATAATTAAAGTCAGATTCTTTCTGAAGTGAGTTCCAAAACTGAATTTTACTAGGAATTGTACTAGATGTTAGGAGTATATTAGAAAGTCTCTTGGTTTATTAACATATATTTAAAATAAATTTTTTATTTCAACAGTAGAAAATACTAAGTTTCTTTATTTAGAAAGAAGACTGTTTTCCAAATTTTTTGTGTGTCTTAATTTGTTTTAAATACATTCATGCAGAATATGTGAATACCATGAAAAAAACTATGCTGCTGCCCTAGAAACTTTTACAGAAGGACAAAAGTTAGATAGTAAGTATTAAAAATTATACTTTAATAAACTTATCTATTTCTGTCTTAAATACCAAAGCTGAATTTTGGTAATGTTAATTTCAGGTTAATTGTAGAAACCCAATACCTGTTTTTCTCATCTTAATTACATTTCATATTGATTGCAGATATGAGATCACTTAAAACTGATTAAATTAGCCTTTTGGCATTTAAATCACAGATGAACTTTACCATTAGAAGTAAAAAACTCTATGGAAACACTTATGCTGTCTCTACTTAGTCTGGCTTTTTTTTTTTCTAATGGAGAAGTGAAAGTTTAATTTGCCTTCTTGGTCAGAAGTCTGTTCATTTTACGTTATTCAGGTTGCTGAGATGTGAAATCTTAACATTAAAGGTTTTTATGGAGAAGTGAAGTGTATATTTGAATAAATTATGAGAAGGTACAGAAGAAACACAGTTTTGAGAGTATTGTGACTTTTAGTGTTACATTTTTGAGGGAAATGTATGAAAAGTATCACAGTGGTAGGGATATCTGGACATACAGAAATTGTGAGAGCCAAGAATTTTTAAATCTGAAAAATACTAAGAGATTGTGAGTAATCTCAGAAAATTGGAAACTACATAATCCTACTTGTACTATCATTTTATCTTTATGTTATGATAGAGTTTTATCACATTTCTCTTAAAGAAGGAGTTCTTAACTGGAAACAATTTTGTTTCCCGGGAAACTCTGCAGTGTCTGAAGAGATTTTTGATGATCATGAATGGTGGAGGGGGATGTACTACTGACATCTAATGAGTGTAAACCAGGGGTGCTACTAAATATCCTATAATGCCCAGGACAGTTCTACCTAACAAAGAAGTATCTGGTCCAAAATGTCGGTAGTGCTGAAAATAAGAAACTTCACTCTTAGTATTTTATGTTACATTCTTACTCTACTGTTTTGAATGTTTGCTTTTCTGTTGTGTACCTATTCAGAAAAAAGGATTTTAGCACTGATTATGCAAATGGAAGCTACAGATTAAAAAAGGAGAGGTCTGGGTGGTAAGGCTTATTCTCAAACTTGCTTATCCCAGTTTTGGTACGTGAATAATTAGGGCTATTCAGTCAGCAAAGAGGGCATCTGCACTCTTAGCAAATTCTAGAGTCAAGTTATGTAGTGCTTTGATACTTAGGAAATTCTAGAGTCAAATTATGTAGTGCCTTGATACATATGTGAAAATCCTGAAGAAACATGAGTCATACCATTCTCTACATTTTCATTTTTCTTTCTTGTTTTAGTGAGCGAGGGTCTCGTTCTGTCGCCCAGGCTGGAGTGCAATGATGCGATCTCAGGTCATTGCAGCCTCCACCTCCTGGGCTCAAGTGATTCTCCCACCTCGGCCTCCTGAGTAAGTGGGGCTACAGGCACATGCCACCACACCTGACTTATTTTTGCATTTTATTTTTTTCAGAGATGGGGTTTCGCCACGTTGCCCAGGCTGGTCTTGAACTCCTGGACTCAAGTGTTCTGCCTGCCTTGGCCTCCGAAAGTGCTGGGATTACAGGCACCAGCCACTGTGTCTGGCCCCTGAATTCTTTTCTTGAGTAAGATCTTAATATCATGCCATTGACATTTATTTTTTAGTTATTTCAGAGGTGGCCTTTAGAAGAGGACCTGTTTGGTAAAATTGCTATTGAGGATATTTCACTTAAAAATAAACTTGTCTTTAAATCCAGAAGACTTTTTTTGTTGTTTTTTGGGGTTTTTTTGTTTGTTTGTTTTTTTGTTTGTTTTTTGTTTCTTTTTTTGAAACGCAGTCTCACTCTGTCATCCAGGCCATAGTGCAGTGGTGCGATCTTGGCTCACTGCAACCTCTGCCTCCAGAGTTCAGGTGATTTTCCTGCCTCAGCCTCCTGAGCAGCTGGGACTACAGGCATGCACCACCATGCCTGGCTAATTTTTGTATTTTTAGTAGAGACGGGGTTTCGTCGTGTTGGCCAAGCTGGTCTCAAACTCCTGACCTCAAGTGATCCACCTGCATTGACCTCCCAAAGTGCTGGAGTTACAGCTATGAGCCACCATGCCCGGCCAAAATCTGGGAAAAAGTTAAGCTAAGCTTTTAGGCTTCTATTTTTATCAGACAGGGTAAAGAATTTTTACCTTTTCCCCTCTTTGTGTGATAGATTGGTTGGTTTTAGTTACTGATTATTTAAAATAGGTTACTCAAATCTAAGATTTTGATATAATAGTTCTCTGGAATACAGTGTGTGTGAGAGAGTGTATTTAGAATTTTTATTAAGGCTGGTATAGTTGAATTTCTTTTATATATTAGTAAAGTAGAAATTTTTGTTAAGAAATTTCTAACTTAAAATTTTCAAATTAATCTTCCCTGAAGTTAACTTGAATTAATAAGCTTTTCTTTAGAGTACTTTTAATATTTTTAACATATCTTACTATGTACAGTGACTGTTTAAATGTAATCATTGTTCTGTGTCTCCAGAAATGAATAATTTGTTTATACATTCATTTACACTGTTATCTGTAAATATATAATACATCACCTATAGCCCCTCGACTGCCGTGTAACTTGGAGATATGACAAACTTCACAGAATGTAAGGATACTTAGTGTTGGTAGGAAGGGCATGGTAACAGATAAAGCCACTGAGAGAATAGTGGACTGAATAGGTATCTGCATTGAAGAGCAAGCTGGGGCTGGGAAGGGCTTTTGGACCTCAACTCAGCTCCCAGTAACCAAGCCTCCTCCCCACCCTAACTGATGGCATATTGAGAGTTTGATTTACGTCTGATTTTGTTGTGTGTGTGAGGAAACTTCTCTAAGAGCAGCGAGATTGGGGGAAATGTAGATTATTTTTATCTGTGAAATTAATAAGGTTTACTGTAGTTAAAATTTTTTAAAAATCAAAATGTTTCATGATGAACAACTAAATGTTAAACTATTGGTATATTGATAACTATAGAAGGGTTGGCAATAAGGTCTGTTAAGACAGATTTTGTTCACTGCTGACTCACCAGTGCCTAGAACAGTGCCTGGGATGTAGTAGGTATTCAGTAAGTATTTGTTGATTAATAGGTTGTGCAGATGAGTGATGTTATAGTCAGTTTTTTCTTTCTAGGTGCAGATGCTAATTTCAGTGTCTGGATTAAAAGGTGTCAAGAAGCTCAGAATGGTATGTGCGTCTCCCTTGGTATTTAGTTTAAAAAGAAATAAACATCTGAATTTTTTTCGGTTTAAACAAATTTGTTTTTACCTTTATAATTTCTTTTAAATAGTATATGTTTCCTTAGATGTGGACTTCCAAAGATACACTGGTTTTTGCATAGCTGCTTATGTTGAATGGGAGATTAGGGTGGATTTGTTTGTGTGGTGTATCAGTAAGAAATTACAAGGAGTCTAAGATGAATTCAGAATGCAAAATGAAACCACTTTCTTTTGGTTAGTTTTCTTTAGTTGAAAAGTATGTAGAATTTGCTTGCTTAATCAGTATGTTTGTGCTATAGGAATCATATAAATAACTTTGCTTATAAATGCACTGTTACCTGAAAATGTTTCCTTTTTATGTTTTAATAGGCTCAGTATCTGAGATGGTACGTCCAGAGTTTTCATTCTTCATGTTTTTATTATTTTAAATTTCAAATACCAAATATATTTGAGACAAGACTCAGGATGAGCTGTCTGATAATTAAATATTGAGTAATTTCGTTTAAGTGCTGGTTCCTCTAGGAACTGAAATAAAATCATTTTTTGATGAATATAGAAGTTTCCAGTCATGAAAATTATTGGCCTATTTTAATGAATTTAGTGTGTGGTTAAAGTTGATTTCGTGTGTTTTAGTATGGTCAGGATGATTATTTATCTTTTTGTTGCTAAAACCTTATTGCATTTATTTAGGTTAAACAGTTTGAATCACTTGAAGGGCTTTTTGTGATAGTCTAAGACAAAAGTTAAAGAAAATTGGAAATTGACAGGGTCTTGCCCTGTCATGCTGGCTGGAGTGCAGTGGTGCCATCATAGTGCACTTGAGCTTCAAACTCCTGGGCTCAAGCAGTCTTCCCACCTCAGCCTCCCAAGTAGCTGGGACTTCAGGTGTACACCACCAAACCTGGCTAATATACTCTGTTTCTTTAAAACAATGTTGTTTTAGTGTAGGGAGTTGCTCAATCTTAGAACTGGCCATTTTATATAAGCAACCTTTTCTAATCATGCCTTTAGAAGTTTTCTGTTATTTAAAGCTCTGTTGTTTTAGAGGAAAAATCTTTTATGAAATTGAAACTAAGATTTTTTTAAGTGCTGAACATTCTAATTTTTTTTTGAAAACTAGTCGTATTTAACAATTACAATTACCATACTTTGAATAAAATTTTCATGTAGTTATTTTGTATCAAAATAACTGCAGTGTTGGATAAATTAATAATATGTGCATTTTAATATACAGTTGCTAAACTGACTTGTAAAAATCTTTCTCTTTCAACTTGCCGAAATCAATCTGCATCCCAGTGGACTCACCAGTCAAAAATCAAGTAAGTGTTTCTTTTTCATAAAACAATGCATGATAGATATTCCTAAAGAAGAAGAAACCCTGTAGTTTAATAGTAAGTAAATTCTTACCATGTGATTTTTAAGTTTTTGTTTTCTAAGATTGTGGTAATAGCTTTATGTAAAGCTAATTTTAAGGCTGTTTAAGAATTAATATTTATACTTAAGTTAAATTCAAATCATTTCTCATCTTTAAAGTTGCTTCACTTGATTTCATACTATGTTACCTTTGCATATGTTAAGGAGCGTCTCTTCCAGTTAAGTTTATGGTACTACACAGATAAACAAGTTAGTAGTAGACCTAACAGAATTGTAACTTACCCTGCCTTTTGTATTTGGAGCAAATTTTTCATAGGAACATTCTCTATGAGTTGAAAGTTAATTGCTGAGGGCAGCAATTATAATAATGAATAAACAACTAGCAAGTTTCTGACTTTTAATTATTCATTAGCCTGTGTACAGCTTGTATTCTTAGGACTGTAACAGAAACACAAGCCATTGCTCTGGAGCTTTGCATCCTTACTGAATTGCAAAGGGAAACTGAGACTCTTAAAGTTAATTTCTTTAATCAAGTTGGTTTTGGATATAATTACCTAAAATGGCCTGGAAATGTTAAAAACAATCTATTCATGGTGATTGTGGGGAGATACAGGATAAAACTCCAAGTACCTAGTAGATAAGGAACTTTGACTTGCCCTGGCGGCAGCAGCAGGGGTAGGGCACATAACCATGAAATAATAAGGTGTTCAGAGCATAAAATAATCCAACATCTGACTTAATTTACGTGTACCAGACACTGTGCTTTGTCCTAGGAATATAATAGTGACAGGATAAACAGTTTTGCCCTTAGGGAGTTTTTAATCTAGTCTAATTTGAAAGTGAGAATTCCCTATTTTTGTACTGAAACTCTGTTTTTAGAGTTTCAAACTCTTCACATTTTTAGAGTATCACTCAAAAGATGTAGATAGTAGTGTAATTTAGTAGGAAAAAACTCTTAGAGTTTCAGTACAAAAGGTGCACATAATTAGAATCTAGACCCATTAGTCTTCCCATGTATCTTGAAATTGAAGGAAAGTGTTGTATATGGTGTTGTGCCTGACATAGTTAAACTTTATATGATTTTAATTTTAGCTCATTTGCCCCTGTTTCCTGTGCTCAAGTCTATCAGCTTCCAACTTTAGTTATGAGAGCTTGGAGTGTTGAGTCAGGCTTATTGCTTCACCTTTCTGAGTTTAAGTTTTATCATCTGTAAAATAGGGATTTAAGTGATTATCTTTAGTATTTGGATGACATGAGTGTAAAAACTCTGTTAATGACATGTAAATATTAGCTGTTTAAAATAAATAGCATCTTTAATATTTATATTAGTTTAAGCACAACAGTGTTGGAGATGAGTCAGAACCCAGAAAATCATGCAAGTATTTAAGTCTGCTGGAAAGGTGTGAGCATCATCTACCTTACCATTTTTTTCCTTTAGTACAGAGCATAAAAAACTAGTTAAGTAAAGTTGTTTCTGTGAATCAATAGCTGCTTTGCTGTTTTCTTCCTCCAGGTGGAGCTCTTGTTGTTTATCAGACTAGTTTTTGTTTTGACAATAGCTTTAAGAAAATTAGAAGTGTTATTTAAGTTTCTTTTTTTTTTTTAATAGGTATGACTGGTATCAAACCGAATCTCAAGTGGTTATTACACTTATGATCAAGAATGTTCAGAAGAATGATGTAAATGTGGAATTTTCAGAAAAAGAGGTCAGTAGACTTTGAGTCATTTTTCAATGTTAATTACTATTATTTGTAAATTTAGTATATTGCAGAATAATCTGTAACACTTTATCAGATAAATGTCATTTCTTCCTGAGATGATGTGGAAAACGCTGAGTAAAATCTGAAGCCATTGCTTTGAGATAAGAATATGTATGTTGGTAAGTTATAGCTGGATGTGCTTTTTTTTCCTTCAGATTTGAAATTTAGAGCAGAATTTCGTTACATTAGTAAGATAATGTGATTTGTTTATACTTGTGTACTTCATGAAAAAGATCTAGTTTTGTGATCACACATGTCTTAGAATTGACTAACCATATTAAATGAGTGTGACTTTTTTTTTTGTTTTTTGAGACAGAGTGTCCCTCTTGCCCAGGCTGGAGTGCAGTGTCGCGATTTAGACTCACTGCAACCTCCTCTTCCTGGGTTCAAGCAATTCTTCTGCCTCAGCCTCCTGAGTAGTTGGGACTACAGGCCCATCCCACTGTGCCTGGCGAATTTTTGTAGCAATGGAGTTTCGCCATGTTGGCCAGGCTGTTGTTAAACTCCTAACCTCAAGTGATCCACCCACCTCGGCCTCCCAAAGTGCTGGGATTAGAGGCATGAATCACTGTGCCCAGCCTCTTGAGTATGACTTTTAACAACTTGATTTCTTAGCATTTAGTAGAGAACCTTTTAATAGATAATTTAGAAGAGATAGTGATAGAGCTGTATGTTTTGCACATGAATTACTTTTTGTTATATATCATTTTGCTTTTGTATGTTTTCTTGAGATTTAAATGTCAAATAGGTGTGATTATGTGACAAATATTATGAAACTTTTTTCTGCTGTTTAATGATATATATAAGAATTCATGTCAAGGATAACAGATGGAAAAAAAAAGATTCTTAAATCTTTCAGAACCTTTTGAGGTTCTTAAATCTAAAATCCCATATGTAATGTTTAAAATAATTTGTAACATTGAAGATTTATAATTATTTTGTTTAGGTTTTTTACCCTCCATTATATACATTTGCAAAATGTGATGGTAATTTTGTGTTCATTAGTTGTCTGCTTTGGTTAAACTTCCTTCTGGAGAGGATTACAATTTGAAACTGGAACTTCTTCATCCTATAATACCAGAACAGAGCACGTTTAAAGTACTTTCAACAAAGGTAAGACAATTGAAAAGGTTTGTTGCTAGTAATATTTTCTGAATTATAGAAATACTGGTGAACTGATTACCGATGTGTTTATGAGCTTGTAGATTCTTTCAGCCCTTTATATTTACAAGGGACAGGGAAAAGAAGAATGATAACTTTTGAGTGTAAGGGTTATTTTACCTCTCAAATTCTAGTACAGTAAAGTATAAAAATCCACTTAGCTTGTGTGGTGTTTGTGCACTTATTAAAACAGATATAATGTTTTTCAATAAAGAGATTTTTTTAAAAGATACAATAATGAGCCTATCTTTTAAGATTGGATACTGACAGTGTCTCTTCTCTTGAACTTGTCAGTTTTGTTTGTTTTGATGTACAGATACTTTTCTCACCCTACCTCATGCAGTTAAAAATACAAACTACTATAAAGATGAATCCTCCTTTTTTTTTATTTTTATTTTTTTTTGAGATAGAGTCTTGTTCTGTCGCCCAGGCTGAAGTGCAGTGGCACTGCCTCGGCTCACTGCAACCTCTGCCTCCTGGATTCAAGCAGTTCTCCTGCTTTAGCCTCCCAAGTAGCTGGGACTACAGGCATGTGCCACCACACCCTGCTAAATTTTTGTATTTTTAGTAGAGATGGGGTTTCACCATGTTGGCCAGGCTGGTCTCCAGGTCCTGACCTTGTCTTTTTTTTTTTTTTTTTTTTTTTTAATTAAAATGAATTTTAGGTTACTTTGTAATGAGGGAACAATGAGTAAATTATAGTTTGCGTAGTTTTTAGATTCCTTTATAGTTTCTAAAAGAAGTAGAGATATACAATAGAATTAATGTTCAGAGAGTATCACTCAAAAGATGTAGATAGTAGTGTAATTTAGTAGGAAAAATACTGAACTGAAAATTTAAAAATCTGACTCTGGATCTTTGCTTGCCCTGTGAATTTAGTCTAGGCACAAAATGACTATAAGACTGAATTTTCAGCACCTTTGAAAGGAGGGCTGTGGACCAAATGAACTCTGGAGTCCTTTCAGCTGTAGAGTTGTGTGAAGGTATATGATAAATGAGTTAATGGGAATAAATGATATAGGTAGGCTTTTTCCATTACTTTTTTTTTTTTTTT